GCTCTTTGGTCCCGCCTCTCAACCAATTGTGTGTGTGTGTGTGTGTGTGGTGTTTGTACTCGCCTATTTCTACTTGCGGGGGTTGAGCTCTGGCTCTTTGGTCCCATCTCTCAACCGTCAATCAACAGGTATACAGGTTCCTCAGCCTACTGGGCTCTATCATATCTACACTTGAAACTGTGTATGGAGTCAGCCTACACCACATCACTGCCTAATGCATTCCATTTGTCAACCACTCTGACACTAAAAAAGCTCTTTCTAATATCTCTGTGGCTCATTTGAGCACTCAGTTTCCACCTGTGTCCCCCAAGTGTGTGTGCCCCTTGTGTTAAATAACATGTCCTTATCTACCCTATCAATTCCTTTGAGAATCTTGTATGTGGTAATCATGTCCCCCCTAACTCTTCTGTCTTCCAGCGACGTGAGGTTTAATTTCCATAGTCTCTCCTCGTAGCTCATACCTCTCAGCTCGGGTACTAGTCCGGTGGCAAACCTTTGAACCTTCTCCAGTTTAGTCTTATGCTTGACTAGATATGGACTCCATCCTGGAGCTTGGAGCTATACTGTGTGTGTGTGTGTGTGTGTGTGTGTGTGTGTGTGTGTGTGTGTGTAGGGTACACATACATGTGTTGTAAACTTTTAAGTATATGTGTCTCCTCGCTCACTTTTTACAAGTATATAGTGGAATATATTCCCTCAGGCCTCCTAGACCCACCAGCGAAATGCCATTGAATTATATACACATGTGGCCCAAGTGTTGCACACACTGTGACCCCAGTATATATATATATGTCGTACCTAGTAGCCAGAACGCACTTCTCAGCTTACTATGCAAGGCCAAATTTGCCTAATAAGCCAAGTTCTCCTGAATTATTATATTTTCTCTAATTTTTTCTTATGAAATGATAAAGCTACCCATTTCATTATGTATGAGGTCATTTTTTTTATTGGAGTTAAAATTAACGTAGATATATGACCAAACCTAACCAACCCTACCTAACCTAACCTAACCTATCTTTATAGGTTAGGTTAGGTTAGGTACCCGAAAAGTTAGGTTAGGTTAGGTTAGGTAGGTTAGGTAGTCGAAAAACAATTATTCATGAAAACTTGGCTTATTAGGCAAATCGGGCCTTGCATATTAGGCTGAGAAGTGCGTTCTGGCTACTAGGTACGACATATATATATATATATATATATATATATATATATATATATATATATATATATATATATATATATATATATATATATATATATATATATATATATATATATATGTGTGTGTGTGTGTGTGTAATATAAATGTTTAGCTTGATGGTCCTCAAGCATTAATTTGATCAATCAATAATACTCTTAATAAACTCTCGGAGAATCGAACCTGCGCCGTCAGGGCGTTAACAAGCCCGTTACACCGTACCCACTCTGCCATGGACATCATTGTGAGTGTGTATGTGTGGGGGGAAAAGATCGGGGAAACCATACGAAATTACCCACTGTAAGTGGCCCACGATCTCTTTGACAGACCAACATATCCGGTTCCACTCCTTTGACCCGGCTATACAAGCCGCCCTCGTCCCAAGGGTTTGTAGACACGAGGCCGAGACTATCCTCCCTTCCCCCTAGCCTTTTTTCTTCCTAGCCCGAGCGGTTAACTAACTGGTGAGCTCGCGCTAGAGAGAGAGGAGGTCCCCTTATGTCTTGCTGCTACGGCAGGGGGAAGGCACGGGGCGCTAACCGCTACACACACACACACACCAGGACCGCTAACCGCTATACACACACACACACACACACCAGGACCGCTAACCGCTATACACACACACACACACACCAGGACCGCTAACCGCTATACACACACACACACTAGGACCGCTAACCGCTATACACACACACACACACACACCAGGACCGCTAACCGCTATACACACACACACACACACACCAGGACCGCTAACCGCTATACACACACATCAGAACCGCTAACCGCTATACACACACACCAGAACCGCTATACACACACACACACACACCAGGACCGCTAAACGCTATACACACACACCAGAACCGCTAACCGCTTTACACACATACACACCAGAACCGCTAACCGCTATACACACACACACACCAGGACCGCTAACCGCTATATACACACACACACACACCAGAACCGCTAACCGCTATACACACACACACACCAGGACCGCTAACCGCTATACACACACACGCACACACACCAGGACCGCTACACACACACACACACACACACACACACACACACACACACACACACACACTCTCTGACCAAAGAGCCAGAGCTCAACCCCCGCAAGCACAACTAGGTGAGTACACACCAGGACCGCTAACCGCTATACACACACACACCAGAACCGCTAACTTCTATATACACACACACACACCAGAACCGCTAACCGCTATACACACACACCAGAACCGCTAACCGCTATACACACACACCAGAACCGCTAACCGCTATACACACACACACACACACACCAGAACCGCTAACCGCTATACACACACACCAGAACCGCTAACCGCTATACACACACACACACACACACCAGAACCGCTAACCGCTATACACACACACACACCAGAACCGCTAACCGCTATACACAAACAGGAGCGCTGACCGCTACACTAGGACCATTGGGGCCTATAAGACGGGCCATTGCCAGCCTGCAACAGATTCCTTTCCTCGTGTCTTCGTCAATTCATCACCGCGAATGGAAATTTCATCCGCACACACACACGCACGTACACGGGGCCTGATAGCTGAGTGGACAGCGCTCTGGGCTCGTAATCCTAGGGGTTCCGGATTCGATCCCCTGTGGCAGAAACAAAAGGGGCAGAGTTTCTTTAACCCCCTGGTGCCCCCTGTTACCTAGCAGTAAAATAGGTACATGGGAGTTAGACAGCTGTTACGGAGCTGCTACCTGGGTGGGGGTGGGGGGGGGAACATTAGTTAGTAACAGTTGATTGATTGATAGTTGAGAGGCGGGCCGAAAAGCAGAGCTCAACCCCCCGGCAAGCACAACTAGGTGAACACACACACACACACACACACACACACACACACACACATTCAGGAGTGCTGCTCAGAACACCGACCCAGCAAGAATATTGGGCATTGTTGATGAAACAGTAAGCGTTGCAGGATAGACACACACACACACCATTGAGAACACCATGTTGCTTCTCAACTACTGTAGAGGCAGCACAACATGGCCTTGCAACTACTATAGAGGCAGCTCGCTGTCTCTGCAACAGTAGCGGCACAACACCACCTACTGCGCTCTACGGCACGAGCCTCGTCACCGCTACTATAATGAGACAATATATCGTTGCTGTAGAGGATGTTCCACTACCTCGCCACTACAGCTGGCGCCACTACCTCGCCGCTACAGCAGGAGCAGCTCCCACTACCGCGCCGCTACAGCAGGAGGCGCCACTACCTCGCCGCTACAGCAGGAGGCGCCACTACCTCGCCGCTACAGCAGGAGGCGCCACTACCTCGCCGCTACAGCAGGAGGCGCCACTACCTCGCCGCTACAGCAGGAGGCGCCACTACCTCGCCGCTACAGCAGGAGGCGCCAATACAGCAGGAGCAGCTCCCACTACCGTGCCTCTACAGCAGGAACTACTACCTCCGCTACAGCAGGAGGCGGTCCCACCACAGCAGAGGAAGTCACTACATCACACCGGTAGGTTCACTGCACTACACCGTGGCTACAAGGGCACTGTTTCACCGCGCACAATACTAACACGCCCTTAGTCTATTTCACCACCATATCTGCAGGAGAAGCTGACGAAAAGGAGCTTTGGTTAAGCGTTAGAGAGCCTACAGCTGGAGCAGGGAGCGCGGAGCCCCCTGCCAGGTGTGCATACAGGTAAAGTAGGGGGAAGGAAAGGTGGTCTTACCTGGCGGTGGTGCAATCCTTGTATAGGATGTCAAAGTGCTTGACCGCGAGCAGTTTGCACCTGTTGACACCTGGCTGGATGGCCCCTAAGCCTCGCAACACGCGCACTTGCTCCACGTTGCACACCAGCGGCTCGATGCCCAATCGCTTCAGCTTGGTGTAGACGGTGTGCAGGCCCCCAACCAGGTTCTTGAGGAAGAGCTCGAAGGCCTGCGGCAAGCACAACATGGATTCGTTGTTGATAATGAAAGCTGCAACCTTCTGGCCTCTGTATTCGACGAGTTTGCAGTCGTTAGCTGTCGGGTCTGAGGTGTGGATGGGCGGAGGGGAGTTGTAGGCGTGAGAGAAATACAGGGCGGGCAGGAAGGGTGGCGGGCGGGATGTGGGCGGAGGGGAGGGAAAGATGGGCGGCGAATGCCCTCCGGGCGGCGAAGGTCCGGGCACGGACAGGGGCGGCGCGGCCATTAAGGGCGGCGGCGGGCTGCTGGGAGAGACACAATTCACCATGCTGGTGATGACGGGTGAGAGAGGGGGGGGAGACCGCCCATTAGCGGACCCCCCGGACCGGACACTCCTACAGTCGTCGGGTATAGAGCTGTCCTCCATGTCTGTCTCACCTCACCGTCTCTAGCACTGAGTAAAGACACAAGTCGTCCAACACCACTGTATTATCTCACCGGGTGTCTCTCTCTCTCTCTCCGGCGTACCGACGCGGCGCGACAATAACTAAGACTATCTCTCTCTGGCGGTGGGCGCGCGGGCGGCGTGGGCGGCCGGCAGGGCGGCAGGTGGCGGCGGGAGCGGGTGGACGTGCAAGCCGTGCGAGCGTCGGCGGCGCAGTGGTGCGGCGCGGCCAGCCAGTCGTCACCGAGTGTCGCTCACCAATCAGCCGGTGCGCACACCCGCACAGAGACACACACACACGCAATACAAACACAACTTTTAACAAAATGTGTAAACGTAATATGCGGGTGCGGGCCATGTGTGCGTCCGTGTGTGTCCAGGGCGGGGACGCCAGCCTATTGGTCCGCGCCGGCGGCTCCGCCGCGCTCATTGGTCGCCCCCTCAGGGGGGCGGAGTCGAGCGCCGGCCCGACGTTTCGTTTCCTTCCAGAACTTGTCTAAATGTTTTGCCTTCTGTGCGCGGTCTGCAATCCTGCACACGCCTCTCGCCGGCGCTGGTGGAGGCGCTGACGGCATGCAACTCGACTCCCCATGCAACACGCCACTCGGCAATGTTGCTACACCGCCGCTAGCCATCCACATCGGCCCCCGGGGCACGCCACTGGCGAAGCTCCCCATAACGAAACAAGTGTCGAATACTCTCAAGTTTGTTTAAATTCTCGGGAATTATATATATTTTTCAAGCCACTGTCGCAGACATGGCTCATATTTATCCCTAAATTTGTACTCGCTGAACTTGGCGCTCCTCACTGTGGTCAACAGCCACCCCTACTGCCAATCACGTTCTTCTATGGAGGTAAACATCTTAAGCTCACCCACACACTTGCACGTTCACTGATCAAGCTTTACTGTAGGTACACTGACAAGCTTTACTGCAGGTACACTGACAAGCTTTACTGCAGGTACACAGCTGAAGCTTTACTGCAGGTACACAGCTGAAGCTTTACTGCAGGTACACAGCTGAAGCTTTACTGCAGGTACACAGCTGAAGCTTTACTGCAGGTACACTGATCAAGCTTTACTGCAGGTACACTGACAAGCTTTACTGTAGGTACACAGCTGAAGCTTTACATGTACACTGACAAGCTTTACTGCAGGTACACAGATTAAGCTTAACAGGTACACTGATCAAGCTTTACTGTAGGTACACAGACAAGCTTTACTGCAGGTACACAGACAAGCTTTACTGCAGGTACACAGACAAGCTTTACTGCAGGTACACTGATCAAGCTTTACACGTACACTGATCAAGCTTTACACGTACACTGATCAAGCTTTACAGGTACACAGATCAAGCTTTACACATACACAGATCAAGCTTTACACGTATACAGATCAAGCTTTACACGTATACAGATCAAGCTTTACACGTACACCGACTAGCTTTACACGTACACCGACTAGCTTTACACGTACACTGATCAAGCTTTACAGGTACACAGATCAAGTTTTACACGTACACAGATCAAGCTTTACACGTACACAGATCAATCTTTACACGTACACAGATCAAGCTTTACACGTATACAGATCAAGCTTTACACGTACACAGACAAGCTTTACACGTATACAGATCAAGCTTTACACGTACACAGACAAGCTTCACACGTACACAGATCAAGCTTTACACTTACACAGACAAGCTTTACACGTACACAGACAAGCTTTACACGTATACAGATCAAGCTTTACACGTACACAGATCAAGCTTTACACGTACACAGATCAAGCTTTACACGTACACAGATCAAGCTTTACACGTACACAGATCAAGCTTTACGCGTACACAGATCAAGCTTTACACGTACACTGATCAAGCTTTACACGTACACTGATCAAGCTTTACACGTACACTGATCAAGCTTTACAGGTACACCGACTAGCTTTACACGTACACTGATCAAGCTTTACACGTACACAGATCAAGCTTTACAGGTACACCGACTAGCTTTACACGTACACTGATCAAGTTTTACACGTACACAGATCAAGCTTTACACGTACACAGATCAAGCTTTACACGTACACAGATCAAGCTTTACACGTATACAGATCAACCTTTACAGGTACACAGCTCAAGCTTTACACGTACACAGATCAAGCTTTACACGTATACAGATCAAGCTTTACAGGTACACAGATCAAGCTTTACAGGTACACATCCCAGCTGGCACACAGATCACAACACATATATGTATACATTCCAACACGTGCAGGTACACATAGAAGCCCCTACATGTATGCACATCACAGCACATACATGCACACATCATCACTGCTCCTTCAAGAATGGCAGGTGTACATCACTGTATAGTTGAGCAGGTGTGTATTGTATTCTCGCACATATACACCAGATGTGTGTGTGTATATATATATATATATATATATATATATATATATATATATATATATATATGCAATTGACGATCACTAAACACTGATCATTTGTATGCGGAAAAACCTCAAAGAAATGGGGAAGAGAGATGAACGTTTCGGCCTGTTAAAGCCGTTGTCAACACCAGACTGAGAAAATTCGTCCTTAGTTGAGCAGTGTAAGCGCTTGTACGCACGCATGCACTCACAGGTGCACATTCACTCACAGACAGACACACACACACACACACACACACACACACACACACACACACACACACACACACACACACACACACACACACACACTCACACACACACACTCACAGAGAGACTCCCAAACAATCACCACACACACTAACAGAGGCACACATACACTCACCAAGACACACACATTCAGAGACACACACATACGCTCACAGACAGACAGACAGACAGACAGACAGACAGACACACAGACACACACAGACAGACACACACACACACACACACACACACACACACACACACACACACACACACAGACACACACACACACACACACACACACACACACACACACACACACACAGACACACACACACACACAGACATACACACACACACACAGACACACACACACACACAGACACACACACACACACACACAGACACACACACACACACACACACACACACACACACACACACACACACACACACACACACACACACACAGACACACACACAGACACACACACAGACACACACACACACACACACACACACACACACACACACACACACACACACACACACACACACACACGACGAGTGTTAGGGCAGAAACCGGAGCACTCAAAGAACCTTAGACATGGAGAGTAACAAACCATTATAGAACACGTGTAGTTATAGTACAAATGAAGTGAGGTATTACAGGTTAACACAATTCTGGTATAGTCACTGGCACGGTCTACGGAGCAGGGTGTTCCTATAGTGACACACCACCATAGCAACATATCACCACAGTGAAGCACTGCATACAGTGTGAAAATGACACAGCAAGCATGACAAAGGACACAGCTGAAGCTTTACACGTACACAGTTCACTGTTGAAAAAACTTCGCATCGAAACTTCAAAGTTTACGCATCGTTAAACACACACACATATAATTATATCCTGTAACACCATTACTGTAATGCTCGGCAACTGTAACCACAGACTGTTGATTGACAGTTGAGAGGCGGGACCAAAGAGCCAAAGCTCAATTCCCGCAAGCACAACTAGGTGAGTGCTGTGGAATTCTCATCGAAACACTGATATAAGGATTACTCCACAAAGTGAATCAATTGAGAAATAAGATAGCAAATTCATATAGTTACCGTATGAAATGGGAAATAGTAGAGGGGCTGGTCCCTAACCTGCACACAGAAATAACATCACATGAGACCAGGAGACATGGCAGGATGTGCAGAATACTCCCGTTGAAAAGCAGAGGTGCAACAGGTACTCTGAGAGAGAACTCTATCAACATCAGAGGCCCGAGACTGTTCAACACGCTTCCACTACACATAAGGGGCATAACTGGCCGACCCCTCACAGTGTTCAAGAGAGAACTTGATAAACACCTCCAAAGGATACCTGATCAACCAGGCTGTGATTTCTGACGTCCAACAGCCTAGTTGACCAATCCGGCAACCAGGAGGCCTGGTCAGAGACCGGGCCGCGGGGACCTTGACCCCCCGGAATCAACGCAAGGTAGGTTGATAGATGATGATGATGCACGTGCAACAAGCAAACTAGATGCCAGGAACAGGGAAGGTAGTGGTTGAAGATAAACCACAGCAACTTGTTAGCGGGTACCTATAATGCCGAGATTAGATGTCAAGTCAGGCGAACTAAAGACTCCAACAATCCATTCTCCAAATAGCATCAATAACCTAATCTAATCTTGGTAGAAGTTGCATTTCCACCAGGGACTGATGGCACAAGTTTGGCACCGTGTCGCAACTGATCACCCCCCTCCCCCCCCCCCCCTCCTCAAAGGCACCCAGGAATAACATGGCACCACGATGCAGAACGATTGGCGAATTGGTGTTATTGTGAACCAATGCCATTGAATTCCTCATTAACAGGTTCAACTACCTTGTCTGAGGCCAAATTTTCAACATAAAATTACTACAGTCAGCAGCGAATGAAACCTCGTAAGAGCTGAAGTTACTTAGAAGAGCTGAAGTTACTTAGAAGAGCTGAAGTTACTTGGAAGAGCTGAAGTTACTTAGAAGAGCTGAAGTTACTTAGAAGAGCTGAAGTTACTTTGAAGAGCTGAAGTTACTTAGAATACATAAAAACTACCTTTTGACCCCTAAAGGTGATTTCCAACTTAAATGTAACAGATATCAGGTTTCCAGGACAGATCTAGTGGTTGTGATGCTTCGGGAAAGGATAGCGTATGACTGGGATAATGATAGCATGAGACTGGGATAATGATAGCATGAGACTGGGATAATGATAGCATGAGACTGGGATAATGATAGCATGAGACTGGGATAATGATAGCATGAGACTGGGATAATGATAGCATGTGACTGGGATAATGATAGCATGAGACTGGCATAATGATAGCATGTGACTGGGATAATGATAGCATGAGACTGAGATAATGATAGACTGTGACAGAGACAGTGATAACTTGTGACTGGGATAATGATAGCATGTGACTGGGATAATGATAGCATGAGACTGGCATAATGATAGCATGTGACTGGGATAATGATAACATGAGACTGGCAGAATGATAGCATGTGACTGAGATAATGATAGACTGTGACAGAGACAGTGATAACTTGTGACTGGGATAATGATAGCATGAGACTGGGATAATGATAG